AGTGAGTTCCAGGCCACCTTAGGCACAAAGAAAGCTGGATAATCTTCACCAGTCACTTTCTCTCAGTCCTAGGAAAGAAGAAATGGCAGACCACTTCTGAAAAACATTGCCAATAAAAAATGCAAAGAGTTGTCCAGGCAGCTTCTGAACATCAGATACAACTGAAGGGAAGAGGGCAAAAACGACTTATACTACAAACCATGAAAGAAAAAACTAGCAAGCCCAAGCTGACAAAAATAGAAAAGAATTTTATAGAAATTGTTAAATATTTTTGCTAAGTAATCAAGAGGGCAAATAAAGCAAAATGAAATAAATTAGCACAATGTAAATTCTTTTTTGTTCTCGGAATTATATGCAGAAATTATTTACTCATGTTAAGCTATGTGCATAAATTATTACTTCATCTTAATATGCTAAGGTGGTTGCTTATTATTTCTTGTACATTATCAAGAAGCTTAAAACGCAACAATCAGCACAAACTTCTGCTAAAGACATTGGTTACCTAACACAGGATTATTTGAATTATGTTCCTGAAAACTGTAGCATGCTGTAAGAATTTGATGTTCCATGAGAAAACAAGGGCAATACCCTAACCCCCAAAGTTCATGCAGTCTTCCACTACTAAAATTATGCTTCTTGATCAGAGGCTCACGGGAAATATTTTTAATTAATTGGTTCTGTGGCCTGAAAAAAAAAATGAAACTCTTGGGCTAATGAGCCCTCTGAAAAGCTGCTCTATATACCTGTGCAATTTTTAACGCAAGCCAGGGAAAAATATTGCATAGCTTCCCAATTCCTCAATGAAAACTCAGAACCCTATTAACGATCCAATCTAAATAGAATGTAGTGTTGAAAGAATAAGCTTTAGATATTGTAATATATATACATATACATATACATATACATATATACATATACATATACATATATAAAAATCAACAGAACAATCTATTGTGGACAGAATTTAAAAAGGGTTTTATTTTTTTTAAACAAAAAATATGAATTGAAACAAAAAGGTTAGTGTAAGCAAACAAGAACCCCAATTACTCTCCTAAGGCTAATGTGCCAAATGAAAGCTGAAAACTGATACCCATCAGAAATGCTGACAAACAAGCTTCTCTACTCCGCTGAATTGTCTGTACATCATACATTATAAGCCTTGTTTTGTGCAGAGTGGGACAAACTGCAAAACTGAAAAAAGAGGAGAGATCGAGAGAATATTTCACTGCAGAGAGCCAGCAGGAAATTCCAAACACTCCATGAAAGAATTAACAAAGTTTCTGGGAAAAGGATGTATGTAAGTTTACAGAGGGAAAATCATAACATGCTTCTGAACCTTCAATGACAGGGCCTGGGATAAAGAAAAGACAGAAGGAAGGAAGCATACCTCCCCTGGCTTTGCTTCCATTCATTTAAACAGTCAAAGGTAGATTGCCCATGCCTAAAATTCAATTCCAATATTACTTGTATATTATTTATATGGAAGCCTTTTAATTCAGAATGAACAGATCATGTGACAGCATTTTTTTTAGCCTTGGATCTCTGAATAAGCTGAATACATACTATAAATAAAAACAAGTTACTTTACTAGAACAGATTGTAAGTAAAATTGAATCGGACAGCGGGGGTGAATAAAAAGGAACATATTGTGCAAAAAGTAAAGCACTTCCATGTTTAGACAGATGGAATAAAATGGGAAGTGTTAAAGCAAGGCTTTCATAAGCATAAAGAGAAATTAAAACATCTTATACTCACTAGAACTTACTCCCAACAACTTGGAGTGGATTCCAGTGAAAGCTGAAGTCAAATAACTTTTGTGTACTGTTGATTCAGTGTTCTCCCAGAAAGATAACCCTTAAAGATTAGACGCCTTTGTCTAACTTTAAAGTACTTTGAGGTTGAGCAAAGATACCAGACTAGAATTATTTTACCCATGGGAAAATTAAGGAAAGATATACTGTGACATAACTCAAGCAAAAGTTAAGGAATTCCCTCCTAAGGAAAAAAAATCTTCACATTTTTCAGGCAAGGACATTTTAAAGAAAGATGTATTTTGTTCATTACAAAATATTCTTATCACACTTTGAACAGTAGTCAAAGTGGATTCCAATTTTCAAAGGATAAAACAACAGAAACAGATTATTATGTAAAAGGTAAACAACCAATGACAAGAGCAAATTTTGCTTTAATTAGCTTTAAAGGCTCAGGAGACCAGACTTCAGCTGCTCTCCAAAAAACAGACTAGCCAGATGCTAGGCTAATTTGCTAGCAGCAGTTAAAGCTGCTACCATAGAAGATGCCATCTTTACCAACCACTATCTCATCAGTCAAGGAGAAGGTTTCCCCAAAAGTGTCAATTGTTGATCTCAATATATGCTCATAAATAAACACTTCCCAATAAAGAACATTTGTAGCTCAGGGCTGAAATGAGGAGTCCTTGATATTCTTTCAGCTTGGCTATTTTCTTGCAAACCTTTCATTACCCAAACTAGGTAACATCATCAGTGCTGGTCTAATGAAACGTCTGCAAGAAAACAACCAAACTGAGAGAGTACCAAGGACCACTCATAAACACTTTCCCTAGACCAGTGATGGCGAACCTTTTAGAGACTAAGTGCCCAAACTGCAACCGAAAACCCACTTATGCATCGTCAAGTGTCGGGTGGGTGTGGCCCATTGGCTGGGTGTGGCCAATTGGGTGGGCATGGCCAATTGGGTGGGCATGGCTGCAGTGGTAACGGCAGACTGGGTGGGACTAAAAAGTTCAATCAATCAATTCCAACTTTGCAAGAACTTTTTTTTTCCCACGAGAAGTTGAAATTGACTGATTGAACCTTTTTTTTTTTTGCACATGGCGGCGGAGGCCTAAAGCAAAAAGGTTTTATAAAACCCAGCTGAAGGCCTAGGACTGGGGCGACAACGTGCGTGCCCACAGAGAGAGCTCTGAGTGCCGCCTCTGGCACCCGTGCCATAGGTTCGCCATCACTGCCCTAGACCCACTAGGACAGGAGTCTTCAAACATGGCCCTTTTATGACTTGTGGACTTCAACTCCCAGAATTCCTCAGCCAGGCCCGCTGGCTGAGGAATTCTGGGAGTTGAAGTCCACAAGTCATAAAAGGGCCAAGTTTGAAGACTCCTGGCACTAGGACTTCATATATTCTGCAGCAGCATTTAAAAGCTATTGTACAACTTTCTTTAGGAGACACCTCTGTGCTATTTTGGTGCACATGGGTGTTGGCTTTGTGTTCTTATGGAACAACATGACTCTGATAACATCTACAGTTTAGCAAGAATGTTCTTTTCTTTCCAAATGAAATGAAATTGATAAAAGCTTTTCATCCTGAAGGTACCATTTGTGCATCCAATACTAAAGTCAAATCCATAAAAAACACTCTGGGTATAAGAACAATATTGTTCAGAAGAAAAAAATTAAATTAAAACTTTATTAAACTTTATTAACTTTATCAAAAAAACTTTATTAAAAATTAAATTAAAACTTGCTTTCGAAAGTTTACCAAGTTTCAATATCTCTTCAATGAGAGTTTGATCATTCAAGTGTCTATCGGTGTCATCCAAAGCCAATCTCTGTTTGAATGACTTTTATAAGGGATACCAATAGATTTTATAATAACACATCACTTTTAATATGGCTTCTATAAACTTATATGCATTATTTTCAAAAAAATGTATAATATTCAAATTTACTTAATTAAGGGACCCATGGAAGAGACCATTCCCAGAGTTTAGTATTATCAAAATAGCTTTCATCTGAACAAATTCAGTCAGACAATCTCATGTTTCCATGGGAGAAGTTAACTAATGACATTGTAAAGAAATCTTTCAGTGTGTCCCAGAAATATTTTTTTTCAACTTAAGTTCTTAAGTGTTCTCGTTTTTTTCCCTCTTTACTGTCCTGTTTATAAAAACATGCACAAAGAAACATAGATGTGGAAGGTTTTCTCTTATCTTGAGAAAACTTTTTACAGCCTGGGACCTAATCCCAAGCCTGCTTCACACCCTTCTGGAATTTTAGGCATGCAATCCAGAAGGAAATAATCCCATCTGATGGACACACATCTGTATTTCAGCCCACGCAGGCCAAACACATGTGTCGCCTGCCACGGAGGGTTCCTAAGTGGCCAATTGGTCGGCTAACCCAGGGGTAGTCAACCTTGGCTCTTTTATGACTCGTGGACTTCAACTCCCAGAATTCCTGAGCCAGCTTAGCTGGCTCAGGAATTCTGGGAATTGAAGTCCACGAGTCATAAAAGAGCCAAGGTTGACTACCCCTGGGCTAACCGCTACCTAGAGAAGGAAGAAACCCGAGGCTTTGTTTTGAGCACTGGACTCGTAAGGATCCCTGTTTGGGAGAGAGAGGCAAAGCAGCCTTTCAACAATGTGACCCAACCTGTGGAGCCTGTACCTATTGCAACAACCGCTAAACTCTTTCGTGCAACCCGCTCAGAACCACCAGCCCCCCCCCCCGGTCCAGACCGAGCTCCGGTTTGGACGGGAAGAGGAGACGGCCCCGTTTTCATTCGCGAGTGGAGGGGGGGGGAAGGGTTGGGGTCTTCCGTTGGGTCCGACGGATAGCGAGGGGAACTTCTGCTCCCTTTGCAAACTTCAAACATTTCCATCGGCCCAAATCTCCCTTCTTCTTTCCTGGGCGGCAGGCAGGCAGGCACACACACACACTCACTCACTCACTCACTCACTCACACACACACACACACACCTCCCCATCCCGCAGCCGCCGCGAGTGGCCCTCCAGCCAAGCAGTCCGACTAGCTCGCTCCCTTGCAAACTTCAAACATTTCCATCGGCCCAAATCTCCCTTCTTCTTTCCTGGGCGGCAGGCAGGCACACACTCGCTCGCTCACTCACTCACAAACACACACACACACACACCCCTCCCCATCCCGCAGCCGCCGCGAGCGGCCCTCCAGCCAAGCAGTCCGACGAGCTCGCCCGCCAAACGCAGCCACAGCTAGAGACTTACGGACTTTGACTTTGCGGTGATCCAAGCCACCGGCGAGAGCTTTGAGGGACTCCAGGCGGCCCCGGAGCCGGACGCTCCGGCGCCCGAGGCTGTCGGCTTCGCTCTGGATCCCGCTGAAGATGTCGCTGGCCCAGCGGGAGAGGTCAGAGAGCTGCCAGACGAGGGAGACCAGCGAGCGGGAGCAGACTTCTTCCAAAGAGCCGAAGAGGCGAAGCCCCGCGCCGCTCCGCCTGGCGTGCCCGTCTTTGTCCCTCTGAACGGCGGCGGCGGCGGCGGCGCCCTCTTCCAAGCGGCAGAGCTTGAGGGGCGCCACGGTCCTCAGAGGGAAAGGCATCGTTGGGCTTCCGCTTCTCTGGGCGGAAAGCAACACGCATCCAACCCAAGCGAACGCTTCGCGCTGGGTCCTCTTTCCCAAAGAAGGCCGAGCTTTCCTTCTTCTTCTTCTTCTTCTCCTCGCCGTTTGTTATTAAAAAGGCCGGAGCAAAGAGCTCGCGTGGCCGCCAGCCCCGCTAGCCCAGGGCCCGCAGGGGAATCGCCACAGGTACATTGCGCCGAGGCGAGCGTTTGGAAAGAGTTGGTCGCTTGCCCCGCCGCTTAGCCGAAAAGGCGCTGCAAGAGCGGAGCGTGGCGGGTGGGGGGGAGCGGAATCCAGAGCTTTGCGCCGCCGCTGCCGGGCAGCTCCGGACGGAAAGACCGGAGGAAGAACTGATGTTCTTGGAAGTCAACGAGGAAGCGGGCTGGAAAAGAAAGGGGGGGTGCTCTGCTCGGCGGACCCCGAAGGCGCTTGAACCCCTCTCGCCCGGTCACCTGGGATCCCCCTCTTGTTGCTTTCCCGAAACAGCCGCTCTTCCGCCCTGGGAAACCGACAAGACGGGGACGGGAGCGCAAGACGATCCGTCTCCCCCGAAACCTGGCGCGAGTGCTTTAAGCAGTCCCAATAACAACAATCGAGGCCGCCGCCTACCTGTGGCTCTCCCTGCCCGAGTTACTCCTTGCCCCCCAGCCAGCCGAAGGTGGAGCGCCTCTCTCTCTCCGCCTTCGCATTAACTCTTTCTGCCGCTGGAGGTCAGCGAATCTCAGCTTTGGCTCAGTTCATTCGCTCGCCCGAGGAATCTTCCCGGGCTCTTTGCCTCAAAAATGAACTTCCTCCTCTGTCACTCTGAACTGCCCAGCGGAGCCGTCCCTTTACTGCTGCCACCCTTTTCACCTATTTTTAAGGGCCCAGGAGAGCCTCGGCCTTGCTATTTAGGTCTCCAGTGCCCTTTCTTTTTCACAGAAGCAGCCTTACGCTAAGGCAGTGGTTCTCAACCTTTTTAATGCCGTGACCCCAATCGGTCGTAAGTCGAGGACTAAACCAGTCGTAAGTTGAGGACTAAACCGGTCGTAAGTCGAGGACTACCCAACCGGTCGTAAGTCGAGGACTTTCCCTGCCTGGGAGCGCTGCGCATGCGTGGTTCCTCCCCCTGTGCCGGCCGAGGCGTAGCTGGCAAGCGGCAGAGACGGAGCAGGCCGACCACCAGCTGGCCCAGCCCAAGGGAGGCACGGCACCCGCCGGAAAAGGGGGAAAAAATGGCGGACAAAAAAAATGGCGGACAGCCTTGCTTGGCGACCCCCGTGAAATGGTCAATCGACCCCAAATGGGGTCCCGACCCACAGGTTGAGAACCACTGCGCTAAGGGTAGGAGAAAAAGAGTATAAATGGGGAATTGGATTTTTCTGGGACCTTTTGGTAAAATGGACTGAATCCCTAATGGCATTGCTGTGGCAGTTTTGAGGGTGGGCTCCCTTTTTTCTTGCAACACTCGTTTATTTATTACTTTTATATCCCATTTTTCAATCAGGAATGGAAAGCAGAGCATCTACGATTCCCTTCTGTTATGCTCTGCAACAACAACCCTGCGAGGGAGTTTTATATCCCATTTTTCAATCAGGAATAGAAAGGCAGAGCATCTAGGGTTCTCTCCTATTGTGCTCTGCAACAACAACTCTCTGAGGTAGTTTGAATTTAGAGAAAATACTGGCCCAAAGCAACGTGGTGAACTCCTTGACCCCCTCATGCACAGAGGATCTTCCATTTATCTATATTCCTAGTCCAAGAGATAAGGCTTTTTTCCATAGCACTAGAACCCTGGGAGCTAAATTGTGGTCAATTTTGTCTCCATAAGAGTCAATATTGATATCTTTGATCTTTTATTCAGGTGACATTCTAGTATCTGTCATGCATGTCACATCGTGCTCATTTGGACTGATATGTGGCAAACTATTTAGGCAGAATTTCTTATATTATTCGTTGATAATTGGTTTTTTCCATAAATCTTGAAGTTTGGGGGATATCTCTAAGGCTAGATGCATACTAACTTGCCCAAAGTTACCTTGTGATAAGATTGGTGGCCAATAACTTTTATAAATAAATACTAACCATATATTATTTCTTGTAGTACCTTAGCTTGCTGAAAATAGGGGCATTTTAAGTAAAACCTCTTTGAATCTTGTGAGATCATCTGGCTGATACACTTGGAAGGAAAACAAGTATCTATATAGCAGACATAGCAATAGCACTTAAGACTTATATACTGCCCCATAGGCTTTATAGCACTCTCTGGGCAGTTTACAGAGTCAGCATATTGTCCCAACATTTTACTGACCTCGGAAAGATGGAAGGCTGAGTCAACCTTGAGCCAGTCAAGAACAAACTCCTGGCTATGGGCAGAATTAGCCTGCAATGTTGCATTTTAACCACTGCACCATCAGAGAAATAGAACTGTTATTCTTAAAAAAATAGTTTGCTCACATCTTTTGGAGGTGAAAAACATATTCATAAAAATACTTCAATCTCTTGTGTTGCCTAGAATTGTGTTGGCTCACTCATGTTAGTCATGCTTAATATTTTCTATATCTTTCTGGCTCCACAGTTATTAAATTACAAGGATTTTCTGCACTCTTAAGTTTCTTAATGTCATAAAATACAATTATAAGCAACAAGCACACACAAAATACATTGGTGTACTTTAGCTGTAATCACTAAAAACTTTTGTTCTTACTTTAGGTATTTCTGCAAACATGTGTATGCATGTCTATCTCCCGTACTTCAGGCAGGGGAACTGTTAGGCTACAAAGCAGATGTTAGAATCCCTGCCCAATCTTGAGTTTAAAAATTTAAAACCAGGTGTTTGTTACTTAGAACATCTAACCATGAAGAAGGAATCATTTATAAAGGACATTCAGTTCAAGCTTGGTGCTACACTTAATAACCAGTGAATACACATGGAAAAAAATTACACCTGCCATTTTATCCAACCAAGTTTTAATTACATATGTCAGCTAATTATGTTCTTCCTGAATAATGGCTCAGATGGTCATTATAGTTGGATTTAGATGATCCGGCATACACCAGCATTACATTAGGGCGTAGGGGTCATAGATAATTAGTAGAGCAAGAATAGACAACTCGAAGACCTTGCACAGCTTCAGACTAGGGCTACACGGCTGGAAATTTAGACTAGCACTGAACTGCTATAGTGTCATCCAAATTACTTTAGAAGGCCCGAAAAATACTTAGTACGAGCCCCTAGATGGCCAAAGGGAACTCATCATTATCTATGATGTGATGAAAGTGCTGATGAAGTGCCTGGAGGCTCTCAGGGCCAGGAGGAATAGACTCAGATCCTTCCAAGATGGATTGACTTTGGATTTGTGGATCTAACAATTCCAGAGAAATGGCACCTTTCTCTCTGAATGGGGTTCTATTACCCCACTTGGAGACGGTCCACAATCTGGAAGCCCTAGACTCATGGCTATGAGTACAACGGGCAGCTAAATAAGTTTTGCCTAGTTCCATCCGGTGCACCACTTATAACTATCCTTGGATCAGAAAGGCAGGTTCATGATCACTCATACTTTAATCACTTCTCATTCTACATGGGTTGCCCTTGAAGAACATTCCAAAGGTACAGGTAGAATGCATCAGCTCAGGTATGCCCTGATATATTTGGATGATACCCCACCCTACCCTTTGCTTTAGAAGCCCCATTGGCTGCCATTGGGTCTCTGAATGTGATTTAAAGTGCTGGTTGTCACTTCAAAGGTCCTACTTGGACTTGATTATTTCAGAGGCTATTTTGTCTGCCCATTCACCTCCTTGTCCAAATAGGTATCATATGGCCAACAATCTCCAGGTTTCCTCCCTTTGCAATTGTCATCAGAGGGGGACTTCAGAAGCAAGTTTTTTTTCCCACCAACATCTCCATCCTCTGGAACTCCTTCACAAGATTCAGTAGGCTTTATCCGTCCTGTGCTTCAAGAAACTAGGAAAAAAACCCTTTCCTTTTGCCACAGGATAAGGCTTTGTAAAATAGAGGCAGTGCCTGCAGTATCTTTGGTACATTTATATGAGTTTTGTTTTTGTACCTATTTGACATTTCTATTGTTTAAAAAAATATTATTCTCCTAAAAAAATCTGGGAATGGACAGCATACCAGTATAGTAAACTACCAAATAATGTCTGTTATCCTCCTATAGTCTGGTGCTGGGTTCCTCCTCCAGATATAAATTATACCACCAAAATCTTAAAATGTCAGATTTCAAACTAGAGGGAGAGATGCAGATAGCTGATTTAAAGTGACTAAAAATAAACTAATTTAATAAGAAAAAATAGATTAATGAGAAAGTGTACTCATAGCAAATTAAGTGGAAAAATGAGCACACTGTTCTTATATCCTCCTGGCATTTAGTCATCACTAAATGATTGTTAATTGTTGTAAAAATACATTTTGTAGCCATATGTTGTGGTGAAGCTAGTCCTAGTCATGGGGTGTCACAACAAGGACAGCCAATCTTTGCTATCTTTGAGAACAGGGTAGCAATTTGTCTGATATTTTCAGTGATTCCAACCCAAATTCCAAAAGCAGAAGGAGGGAAGAGGAGGAGGAAGGAGAGGGAAGACCAGGGGAAGAGGAAGGAGGAGGAGGAGGAAGAGAATGACAGTTAATAAAGGCCAAGATAAAAAACTCATCAAATGATTCAAATTGCAGATTGTGCAAAGAAGCAGAAGGAACAATAGATCATATATACTGCTCATACAATCACAAGCTGATTATAAACAACAATATAACATAGTCACCAAAATGATTCACTGGAACATCTATTTGGACTGGACAAATGTGTCACTCTCACCATCAACAGGGGAAAACAGTGAATGAATCAAGATGCCCTACAGCAGGGTTTTTCAACCAGTGGTACGGGTACCACCTGTGGTACATTGGCACCTGGCAGGTGGTACACGACCATCCTAGAAAAGTGGTAGTGGGGGAGGGGAACGAGCTGAACCGGTGGCAG